TTCTCTTTAGAATTTAGACTAATTGTGTCTGCTTCTAAAAAGCACCTGAACTTGATAGAGAAGGCGTTAAGAAAGTCAGGAATAAAAAAAAAATTCATTTTCATTACTATAGAAATAATACCTGTATAATGTTCAAGTGTATAAGAAAAACGCATAACGTCATGATCTTTTCAAAGTGCGTTCTTGACTTTGCAGTTTGTAATTCAATGCTGTTACATCTTGTTATTAAATCCGTTACATAAATGTGTAATTTTGCTCAATATATGAGATCTGCAATTACAGAAATCTGTAATTTCAATACTTTGTACTAAAATTCACACATAATACCAAAATCTAGGTATTAAATTCCATACTCTCTTTCATAGCGTGAAATATTAACAACGTTATAAACGAATTTAGAAATTTATATAAAATGTTGGCAAGTAGTTTTTTTGATGTTTGTTAAAATCAAAATTAGGCGATTTACTTAGTATAATAATAGAGTACTTGGTCTTAATGAACACACTAAACCATTAAATTCCTACGGAAACTGGTTCAATTATAAAAATTATTGAGTTTTGAAAATTTGCTTTTAGAAAATACTCCTAGTTAACGTATTCGTTCGTTTCTGATTATGTGTAATGAATCCACTTGGAATACTTTTAATCACTCATAACTTAATTTATTTTTTATTGATTAAGTCTAATATTTACACATATCGGGAAGTTCATGTAACTTGCCTCAAGGCCAAATACCGATACCAACTAGTTTGATTTTGTATTAAACATGCATATGTAACTTATTGTTAGACTAAATCTGATATTGCAAATAACATTGCATCTTGATAATGCATTTTCGAAGATTTTGAAACGTAAAGACATAATAAAATAATTATAGATTTTCTATCTATTTTAATTACCTACTTATTTTCAATTTTCTACTTATTTCAATATCTATCTATTTAGAAACAATTCTCTGCATGCTTTCATGAAAATACTAAAACGTAATTGAAATAAAAAAAAATCCATTTTAAGAAATTTTCATCAAAATTTTTGGTTCATAGATGTGCACTGAATAATTACCTATTAATATTACGCGATTGAAAGCTATTATTTTATCTTAGGGCAACTCATACATTAAACAGTTTTTCATTTAATTTTATTATTTTTTACATTCTCCATTTTATGAATATCTTCTCCATTTTATGTTAACTTTTTGATAATACGACTTTCGTTATATTTTGTGAACACAAGACTTTATCGTTTGTTATGTCTGTACATAACAATCTAATCTCCATATAGAGTACGTTTATGAATAACTACCCACACTTGAATGAGTTGAATTTATCACAAATTCGAAAAATACCGTTTAAAATTTACGGTTCAGGTGGATATAGGTACAATATTTTATAAGACCATATATAGAAAAGGTAATACATAGCACGTGGGAGCATTCAATATAAATCGATTTGATAAAGATGAGCTTATACTATGTTGCATTGTTTCTCTGAGATTGAAGAAGTTTTAAATATTTAGAATACATATACCTCATTCACGAATATAATTATTATAAATAAGATATATTATAAAGCATATATTTAATAAAATATTTGACATTTTACAACTAATCTGCGTAAAATGTACTAGCAAAAGCATGTCATTTTTAAGTTATTTTTTACTCGAAATATTTCAATAATAAATTTTTCTAGTGTTTTACCATTTTACAATCCTATTTCAATGTTTTCAACGCATTTTTGATGAAATTTGATAGCAACATTTTAGTACAGTTTTTTGAAGAAGAGCATCTCAAAGTCAACCGATTTTAAAAATTTTAAATTCATAGTTCAACAGAAAGTCTTCATTCTTGAAAGCTTGGGGCAATTATGTTAATATTTTTGATTATGGTCCTAGAAATGTTATTCATGGTAACGGTTTCACAATTTAAATGGAGCAAATTAGTTAAAATTAACCACAATGGCCGAAAAAGATCACAATATCATTAAAGCTCTAGGTTGCACTTAAAAGCTCATAATTTCTAAACAACGTGGGATATCTTTTTTTCTAATTTTTTTCCAGGACAGTTTTAAGGTTTCAGCTTGACGTCAAGGACTGGCATACCCGTACATAAAAAATTAATATTAAACCTAAAGATACGTGATACTTTTGTTAAAGATTATGTGACCATATTTTTTATCAATGCCGGTTCAAATAGCTTCCGACTTATCCGATAATTTTGCATATTCATTTTCAATTTTACAAAAATTAGAAAAAAAAAAACTTTTCGATTGCTAAGGGCTTTGGGCTAAATAACTTTTAGGCTAGCATACTATTTAAAGATGTGTTTTTTTAATCAGAATTTCTTTATTTTAGTAGGACTTTATTATTCGATAAGTGCCTTGTGCTTAGCATCAAAAAGGTTTTCTCCTAATTTTTATAAAAATTGAAAATGAATATGCAAAATTATTAATGCCGGAAGCTATTTAAATCTGCATTTTCAATTTTGCATTTGGCCATTTTCTCATTTACAACGTATTGTTTTATATAAGGATATTTGTTGTGTATATCATTTTCTGATACTTGATGAGTAGTTGTAATTTTATTATCAATTCGGGATAAAAGATCAAAATACGTGACATACATGGTCTGTTCAAAAAGTACCCGGAATTACTAATAATTAAATTTCGCGGGTCTGGAGTGTCTGATTGTCAAAATTTTTTTTTATTGTGTTGGTATACATGCCCCTAAAGTATGATGAAATTTTCAGCTATATTCACTGTTTACTTTGTCTGTGGTAGTCGCTAAGGTTCGACGTGTTTTTCTGAGCTCGGCGATTTTTACAATGGAAGAATTGAAAAAGTCAAAGAATTTGTATTAAATTTTGCGTAAAAAATGAAATAGTGTTGCAAAGTGCAAAAATTCACCAGATATGGCTCCGTGTGACTTTTTCCTATTCCCAAAGTTGAAGAGACCCATGAAAGGACGGCGGTTTTCCTCGATTGAAGAAAATCGCCGAGAGTGCTCAAGGACATATCAAAAAGTGAATATCAAGGGTGCTTCGAAAATTGGAAAAAACGCTGGCATAAGTGTATTATATCTGGGGGGGACTACTTTGAAGGGGACCACATTAATGTAGATTGTAGACGAATAAATAAATATTTTTTTGAAAAAACGAAAATTACGAAAACTTTTTGAACAGACCTCGTATGTTGCAAAATAACCTGGGACATAAGGTGGAAATCCGCGACTATCCCGGCCAAACCGGGTCGTATTATTACCTTACAAATAGTCAAATGTAGATATTTTCGGTATATTAGGTAAAAACCTTCCCGTAGGGCAAGTTGTAATCGAATCGAAAATGAAAATTTTTATATATCTTTAACGTTCAGTCCAGTCCAGTGGGTTCTGAACATTTTGGCATACCTTAGAAAAAATGGATGTATGTGTGTATATGTGTAGGTCGGATAATTTAAAATTGTTCAAAAATCAAATTTTCTTTTAAAAAAATTTTTTTGCATGGCAATTTGCCTTAAGGCACAATGCCATGCACCACTAGCTTTCTGCAATATTCATAATTTATGAAATAAATTATACAAGGTTAAACATAGAGTTTCCATTAAAACTCTAAATTTGCCATTAATTTTACTACCAAAATTCAATATTGAATTTGAAATTGAGCGTTTCAATACTCGAAAATTCGTTCCAGCGCAAGGTCGCGAGCAAATGCATTATGACGCTGTGTTCATGTTCGTATTATATTATACGAAAATATTTCTCACGCAAATTAATTGGCACATGACCTCATATTCCATTCAACAAAACCTACCGGCCACTATTTCGGATTCGTACATGCGGATTTAATAACACTTCTCGCTCTTCAATGTCGATTGTATTTATATTTATTTCAGTAATATTTTACTTACACACGCATGTGTGTCACATATAGTATAGTTTAGTTACTAAAATTATAGTCAAATTTGCTATTCGAATACATAACAAGAAATGATGTAGAGTGGACAACAATAGTATGATAGATGTAAATTTAAACTTTACAAAATTCTCGCCAAATAATTAAACATTTACCTGTTGCTAACTTTATTTTGCCATTTTCAATTAAAAAAGTGTATGAACTCAATATTTGTTTTTACTTCAAATGTTTTATACTAAAATTTAGTTCAGATAATCATCAATAAAAAAAATAAACAGTGGCGGCGCGCAAGACCATAAATTAAAATTATGCGTTGGTGACGGCTAAATTAAAGATTCCAGTTGTACTCGGTCAAGAAAATGTTAAGTTTAAACATATAACCGAATTCTAGTTAAACTAATATATGAGTAAATGACTTATTGCTAATAAAAACTGTGACAAAAATAACACAAATTTTAATTAATCGAAACCTTTGCGAAACCACCTGTACTTTTGCATAACAATTCAAAAATACAAAAACTATAATTTTACCAAAACCTTATGTGAAAGTCGCGTTTAGTTTTAAAAAAATAATATATCCGACTGGTTATTATTGCTTGAAGAGTTCAGCAAAATCAGGAACAAAATTTTGCTATTATATTACCAATTTCGTACGACTTTTCATTTTTACTACTACATTACTTAAAACACGCACACATTTGCTAAAATTTCTTTCAGATTACGAAATATTTGTACTTAATCAACAGATTCATTCCGAAGTTTGAATAAGAAGTGTTCTCATAAACCTGTGAAATCTTGTAACTATTCTTATTCAACAACCAATATATCAAAATTTTTAGTTAAAATGTAAAATGCATAAAACAAATCAAATATATAAAAAGAGAGTTTATTAAATTCTCATTATTTAATTCGTCTTTAAATTAAAATAAAGGATACATGATATGATATTAAAATTACATTTACAAATATCAAAAAATTTATACATCAGATTTTATTCGTCCATAATTTAAAATATTTTCTTATCATAATTATATAATAATACGAAGATGACATTGAATAAATACATACAATTGTTATACATAAAATCAAATCTATTAATTCTATGGACACTTTCTCTCTACTTGATTCTTTCCTCCTTCTTGGTACTCTTGTGTCGATATCCACATTTGTTGGAATGTTCCTATACTAGCTAAAATTGAACCACCTATCCAAGCCCCAAACCTTCTCTCAGCACTACCGTTTGCAGATATCATTTTTACTCTCATAGAAGACTGAGTTCTTTGCATAAGATCTTTATTGAGTCTCTCTGGAAATCCTTGAACTAACGAATTTCCTCCGGTGACAACCACAGCATTATATAATGAAGGACGGGCATCAATATCGCACATTCCTACACTAGTGGCTGCTATTTGGCCAGCTCCAAGCATGGCATGATCGAATAATGTCTCACCTAAATAAATGATTAAATTTACAAAGTCTGATACAGAATTCATGGGCTTAATTATACAATTATAATTTTTATTTCTAAATACCTAATCTGAATCGTTCCGGACCAAAATCTTGATGGCAACCTGTAGGAAACTCATAATGAACAGCTGGAACCGCTGCAGCTGTTCTTTCATCATATGATGAATCCCCTATTTGCACAATAGTCATTTGAAAGTCCTGCAGCAAAACATTTACTTATTTTTACAATGAAAATCATTATAAAAGTTATTATTAACATTTTAATAATACCTGGAGCAATTGTTTAAGCATATAATTGTGCCATGAACTTGTAATTTTTTCTGGAAGATTTTTCAATGTGAATTTAGGTTTCTCTTTGTCTTTAACTTGTTCTTTTGATTGAACTTTGTATATAGGTGTCAGATCAATTCCCTAAAAATTTTAATACAGTCATTTATAGTAGTTGAATATATTATTAAATACAATTAAGCATTTTTGAAAATAAACTTACTTGGCTTTCTAAATATTGCCTGCATTGAAGGCCTAAATAATCCCCACCTAAAGGACTTTTTACTACGGCTTGCTGGATTACATACCCATCCTGTACAGGAATGGCACTGGTATGTGATGCACCACTATCAATAACTAATGCAGTTGATCTACCATTGCTAAAAGCAGCTAGAACTGCATTTTTGACCAAAAAATAAGCTGGTACATTATATTTCTCAAACATCAACTCTGTTAGTTGTTCTCGTTTGTTGCGAACATTCCAAGCTGATTCAGAAAACAATACTGGATGTAATTCAGATGATGATTGTATTAATTTCTCATAAGAATAGTCCAGAACTTTTTCAAAGAGATCCCAATTTTCTATCATCCCATCTTTCATAAAGGAATGAACTTCTGTATTGGGCCTTGGAACATTTAAATAATTTGTTCCTATGTAAAATTTGTTTTTTGTTGGTTTTGTTACTGAATTATCCATTTTAACATCTGCATCATAGTCTATTTCGCCAGGACCAACTCCTATAAAGGAAAATCAATACATTATAAATATTATTTTAATAATGCTATTGGTATGTTAAACTATTGAAAATATGGCAAAACTTGTCCTTGTCGATTGGCTTTGGACAAGCTATTATTAATAAATTGAGAATGTCTTGATCAAAATATGTTTTTTTGATGCACTTGTAGACTTGCTAATAATCAGCTTGAATAATCAGCACCAAAAATAATGCATAACTACACTTATGCAATTTGTATGTTTGCGAATGATAGTACGTAATAAAAATTAGATTAGAATATAATAGACAAGAAAAATGTAATATGCACATTATTATTACCGAAAAGCAGTTGAGATGAGCCAGAAATTAAAATAAGATACAGTAAATAGTTTGGCAGATGAAATTATATAATTCAGTTTAATAAATAACACAATAAGTCCAAAATTGCATGTAAATTATTTTTTTAAACTTATGATTGTCGTATTTTGGTTTACTTTACTAAATTATTTAGCAATATAAAAAAATATTTCTATTCATTAAAAAAATGATTTAAATTTTGTTTCATGTGCCAAAAATTAATTTGTTTAGCATTGGATATGGAATATTTAGCAAGTTGATCTTAGATTGAAGAGTGCCCATATAAACTAGATTTTACAAATTAATTGACCTAAGATTTGAACATAAACAATAATGTTCGTTAAATTATTAGTAAGAAAAATGTACTTTAGAAATTATAATTGCCAAAAAGCAACTAATATATCGTACGAGATTATGAAAATTATAGACTAAATTATTAAAGCAATTATGTTGTGTTGGTGAAATCAAGTATGATATTGTTCTTTTACCGCACAATACTATATTAGTTTTTTCTGAATTTCTTAACCAGCTCATGCTAAGACCATAAATGAATCATAAAGGCAAGACATCAAATAAGATATTAAAAAGTATAGGATAGGATATTAAATAATTTGGAACTTAAATTGTAGACATGAGTACAGTACACAGTCTGTCGGGTCATCTAGTAAATAAATATAATGTAATTGTGAAAAATACAATTGTGAAAGCACTTAAATGTAATTACTAATATTTCATTATCCTATCAAATTTAGAACTAATTCCAACGAGTATCATTGTATTAGATATGTGAAATAGTTTCTGTAGCAAACAGTTCTCATGTTATTGTTTTTACCAAATTCAAACTATTTGATTATGCTCATTAAGACTAAAAGAATATGATAAGTTGCATACCTATATATGAAGGCAATTCACCCTTTGGTGTATCTTCCTGGGCATATCCTATTCTGATAGAATGGTGGCCAGGGTCAAAAACCAATGCCCCAATTTCATCACCCCCGAGAATCATATTAGCTGCACTTGTACTCATATTGATATTTATACTTCACTTTTCTATGGAATTATTTGTTAATTATATTGTTTTAGTTTACACACACATAACCTATATCTATTTAACACCGGCAAAATATTTTATGCGTTTTCGTTAATACATAAGAAATAAAATCACTTAGCACAAATTATATTGAAACTATCAATTATTAAAATTTTATTTGGCATATTACGCTTAACATTTATTTTTCTATATTTTTTGACAAGCGTCTTCCAGCTAGCGCTTCGCAGGGCTGCCAACTTAAACCGCTATTAGTTGTCAGAAGAATGAGCGCGAAATTCAAATACATCATTTTGAATTTATTGTTTGAATGATGGGTAAAATACAAACTAATATTTTTATATAAACGATATTATTTATAACAAAGACTATTAAGAAATTTATTTAATATTAATATTATTTATTGTTTTATACACCGAGAGAAATTCACAACATTAAGTGTTTATAATTTTTGAAATGATTAAAACTATTTGAAATATTATTTATTATTGTATTAAAACTCTGTAATTAGAAAAGAATATCATTTACGAATTAATTAACAGAAACAATTTTAGAGTTACTGTTATTTTATTTAGTACAATAAAAGTTCAAGAACATTAATCGTATTGAAGATATTTTTAATGGTGAATAATTTAAAAAATTAAAGAATATGGCAAAAATTTGAGATGAAATTATTAAGGCATGTACATATTACATACACATACATATATGTACATATATAAATAAAACGAAAATCATAATAATTACAATTAATAGAACCGCTTATCCTTTCTAGCATGGACAAATGATTTAGTATGTATATATCTTTATTTTCTAAATAATTTTACTAAAATTGACTGAATATTTTCAGACCAAAATTTCTATTTGTTTTCTCAATAATTTTACGAGAATTAACTAAATATTTTTCGACCAAAATTTATATTTCACTAGTTCTACACGTGTGCGTAATATTTAAATAAACATATTATTACTATAAAATTACAGTATTTTGTTTTAATAAAGCATATATCGATTAGTTATTATTATGAAATACCAATTTAATAAAGATTTTTCACATCTTATTAGAAAAAGTTACGGAAAATTAATATTGAAAAAAGGGGCCACTTTCACATTCAATGGACCAATGGTATTTCCATTAAATGATGAGGTAAATTAATTTAAATTGGTATTTCGGATTTTTCTTCAAAAAGGGATATACAATGGCGTTTAATTATCTCGTCGTCTAGGGTTAGAGCTATGGGTTTCGAATCAGAGGATTGTTACTGGTTTCGGATGACTTGATGTCAAACAGTAGTGTCATCGGTTTTCATTTGGAAGTATAGATAAATGATATGTTGTTAAGTAAAAATAGCCCTTGCTTTTTGACAAAAATTACATAAATTTTAATAATAAATTTATCAAATAGAATTTAGGCCTTTTTGAAAAAGCGAAGTAAACAAGGAAATTTTTCACAGCAGCTTTTGGAGACCCCTAAAATCCTCTGATCGCTATCCAAATAAATCCGCGAATTGATATTACAAAAACTGTGCAAATTGGTTGGTTGGCTTATTGGCTATAAGTTAGCAGACATAAAATATTTGAGCAATCATTATTTTTAACTTGCGTAGGGTAAGTTATAGTAATCGCAAAAAAATCGAAAATAAAAATGTGTATATATCTTTACGTTTCAAAGGTTTTTGAACATCTTATCATACCTCAGAAAAAATGAATGTGCTGATCAAACGATTTGAATGGTTCAAAAAACATTCGACAAGGCAGGTCCAGCCGTTTCGAAGATACGGGGCAAAATGTTCTAAAAATGGTAACTCAGTTTTTGAGAGAACGAAGCATTCGATTTCAATAATTCGAAAAACATTTTGCTTGTATTGAGAAAATGGAGAAATGAATAAATTTTTGGGAGGGCGGGTGTAGCGGTTTCGAAAATCGAGTAAAAAAATGTAAAAAACCATTTGGGGGTAAAAATGATAATTAGACATTTGCAAATCAAATTAACAGATATTTTATAAAGATTTTATTAATAACTACAAATTTTGTTTACGTTTCTATGAGTTCCGTACCGATGTTAATTCGTTAGACTAAGACGCGGCGCTTGCGCGCTTCCATATTTTTTCTCTAAAACAGCTACGCTGCACAATTGCGTTAGAAAAAGTTCAAGATTTTCAAAAAAAATCGAAATATATAAAAAATCAAATTTCCCATAAGCCATTTTATTTAAAACTTCAAAATTTTCAAAAAACTCATTTTTTAAAAAAAATTAAAAGCTTTTTTAGAAACTTTAATTTTCGGTACGGAAAGTTTCAGCAATTTGCCTTAAGGCACGATGCCATGCACCACTAGTATTTTATTATATCAATAAAAAAAAATAAAATAAAATTACACTTAAACTTTTAGACAGCCCTAGCTTTCAGACAAGGTTTTAACGACTTAATAGCTAATATCCGCTGCCTAAGAATGTCGCTTATTAGTCAGATTAAGCGCATACGATATTGAACTTGCAATGGATACAAAGATTTGCATAAACACACAAAAATACTAATTCATGTGATGATAATTATAAACAAAAATTTAAGTTTTATCATAAGATAAACTTTGAACTCGGACGTTAGTTGTCATATACACACTGTGCAAATGTATGTAAGTATATAGGACTTGAGTGTCGAGAAAAACGGTGCATTTGTTTCTGCGTCGTGATATTGATTATAATAATATTTTGTGTTGAATATATAAATTACAAATGAAGTTTTTACTGGCAATTATTGCCCTTTGTGGCAGTATTTTGGTTGCCCAATGTCATAATTTGGCAGTGTCCGATAAGTTTATCAGGGATATCAATACGAAAAGAACAACTTGGAGGGTAAATAGAATAGAATAATGTAGAAATATATGTTGTTTTGATGGCATTGTAATTGTTTTCTATTAAAATACTTATATTTTCAGGCCGGACGCAATTTTCATCCAAATGTAACTGAAACTTACTTGAAGCGTTTAATGGGAGTACATCCAAATGCATCAATGCATTTGGCACCTTACAAGGTTTGGAAACAAATATTTTTCAAAAAATAATTTGACATTTTTTACTCATTTTCTATCAAATATGGTATTAATTTCTTATATGATTTTTATATATTGATAATATTGATGTTTGAGGTTTACGTTTTCGATTGAGAATTTATGATTGTTAAATTTTGAGCTTATTTTATTATTATTATTAAAAAATAATGAATACATTTTTAGGATTAAGAGTAATATTTAGAAATTAAAATTACAAATTCAACATAATAATATTAATTAAGTTCAAAAATTATTTTTATACAAAAATATTGTAAAATGAAAGTCATGGCAAGAGAATTTAAGATTTCTATGATTAGTTCTTTATAAATTCAAAGTAACATAGGTGTCAATATTCAATCAGTTGTTTCAAATGATGTTTTATACTTGCTACTTAAATTTTCATTTTTTCTTATTTATTTTCAGCCAAAACTTATTACTTTAAGCAATGATGACATCCCAGAACAATTTGATGCAAGAGAACATTGGCCAGAATGTCCTACATTAAGAGAAATCAGAGATCAAGGAAGCTGTGGAAGTTGCTGGGTAGGTCTTATTTCTATTTTTCATTAACTTCTAGATTGAAAAAACATGTGCTTACCAAAACGTTAATAGCAATATTAAAATTATCTGAAAATTTTGAAATTTATATTAATTGTATGACGCTTTTAACACATTGACATTACACATAGCCTGAGATTGCAAATTTGTGATTTTTGAAGAATTTACAAAATAATAATTTAAGGTTATTTATAATACCAATTATTCGTCTTTTTATATCAATTTTTATTTTTTATAACAAACTGCATAATTTGCTCTAAAAAAAGTTCTAATACAATTGTAATAGATTATCTTTCAACTGTTTTTGAATGAGATTTTTCTAATAACGATTGATAAACTCTTGTAATTGAACTTCCTGGTTATAATAGAATAGCGGTTTTTAATAATAGAAGTAGAAATAGGTCAAATATTTTAATATTTAAAAGTGGTCATAAATGATGATACAAATTACTCAATCGCGTCATCATTGGTATTTTGTGATATCTATGACCAATTTTCTGAAGAAATTATTTAAGTAATGTTCAGATATATTTTATTTTCATATAGTATTCCAAGGAATGTTTATTATTTTTATTTTTTACAATGGGCTTTAGATGTTATCTTAAAATTGTACTGTCTGTGCTGCACTTTTAAAAAAGACTTGGTAAAATTATACAAGTATGGGTCAAAATATTTTGGACACTTTATATTTGATGTGTTCAAGTCTGTTGATAATGAAAATTTTAGTCAGAAAACCATTTGATTTCAAAAACTACATTCGGGTTCCCTTTTTAAAATTTTACAACTTTGAATTCTGAAAATTCAAGTAAGATGTATTACTTACTTATGCGGCTCTTTTTTTTCTTGATATTTTGCAAATGTCTCAAAAATCATAAATAATCTAAGTTATAAAAATCCGAATTTTAGTTTGTTTTCTATTATTTTAACCAATTGCAAATGCTTTAAATTTAATTTTGTTTTCTATTATATGAACAAACTATAATAAAACTCTTCTTAATACCAAAATAATTGAACAAAAACTAATTACATTGTTAATGTTAGCTTTTCTATTTTTATTTATGGTTGAATAAATAATATTGAATAGAATATTTCTTCAGATAGAAATAAAAATTAATTTGCATTGGCATATATTTATAATTTTGCAAATATATGAATTTTGTGGTTTAGTCTACCTTTTTTTATAAAAATAACTAATGGCGCATTAGTTAGCATATTTTATAATAATAACTAATGGTGCATGGCATCGTGCCTTAAGACAAAATTCATACTTATTATTAAAATCTCTATAAAATATCTGTAAATTTGATGTTCATATGTCTAATGATCATTTTTAAGCAACAAATGGATTTTTTTGTAATTTTTTCAGTTCTTCATTTTGTTAATACAAATAAAATGTTTTTTCAATCATTCAAATCGGACGTTCCGTTCTCTCATAAATTGAATTACCATTTTGACACTTTTTGCCCCGTATCTTCGGAACAGCTGAACCTGATTTTGCTAAAAACTATTCAGCACGTTTTCTTATCAATAGGAATCGATTTTTTTTTTTTGAATTATTTAAATTGGTTAATCCGTGTTCTCGAAATCGTCGACGAAAATTTGTATCTGCACACATACATACATCCATTTTTTCTATGGTATGCCAAACTGTTCAGAAACCTTTGAAACGTCAAGATATATAAAAAATTTCATTCACGCTTTTTTGCCATGACTAAAACTTACTCTATGGAAAGTTAAAAAAAATTAATAATAATAAATTAATAATTTCTCAAATAAACTTTAATAAAAGCACGTTATTATGAATAAAATTTTGAACCAATACGAGAACTATAAATTCTCCATCTCATAAGTCTCTGCATTTGTTATATTATTGAATAATTATGTTTTTGCTTCTAGCAAACAATACCATATCGTATTATATTATGGTTTTGTAATAATATTTGTTTATAATCGTTGTGATTGTTTAATGTATACAAATTTTGTTATCATCTAAGCGTCATTTCATTTTTATCATGCAGGGTTGGTTGTTGACAGATGGCCTTTGAAACGTGTTTCATTTTCTGATAACATTTATTTAAATTCTTCTGTAGACTATCTTACTAATTAATTCTATCGAATTTGTATAAACCAATCTTATTATTTGAGGCAATTAAATAGAAATAAAAATTGTTCTGATATTATATGCAGATCTGTGAATATTTTGCATTGACTAACGCGTAATTATAATTAGGAACTGGATGAAACTGGGTTTTTCGGGGAATACTTTATGTTTATTAAAAATCATCATCAGCTGATTTTTTATCTGGTTTCTTTGTATAACTGCTAACTATAGTTATATAAAGATATAGATATAAAGTATACTTTATATCAGGGAAATATATTGTTTTTATTACTGCGTGTTTTGTTGTAATGGAATACTTAATTGAAGTAAATATATAATATTGCTTATTATCGTATAGATTTTTACTACCGTCGGAAAAAATGTTATTTTTCTATCACTATCATTTTTTATTATTTTAAAAATACCAGGGAATTATATATTCAATATCTAAAATTGTAAAACAAACTTTGAGATCCAATAAAATAAAAAATTAAACATATCTTTAATATTTTATCCCCCTTTACTACACTTTTAAAAAGAAAATATATATATATATATATATAATATATATTCTTTGTAAATAATTTTTAAATCCAAATTTTCTGAATCAAATACAATAATTTCTCTTTTTCGTTATTTGCGATACCTTAATATTTGCATTAAGTTTATTAGTTTTAATAAGTCCTTATAAGTTATATATTATATGATTTTTAGTTTTTTATTATTTTAGGCAGTTTTCATTTTGATAAAAATTCAGAAATCTTTTTATTAGTGTAATATTAGAATTTCAGTTATTTTCTAGTATTTGTATGTTAATTTTAATACATTTTTCATATCTTCAACCTGATTTTCAAGTTTTTATTAACTTCCCGTAGGGCAAGTTATAGTAATCGCAAAAAAATCGAAAATGAAAATTTTTATATATCTTTACGTTTCAGAGGTTTCTGAACATTTTGGCATACCTTAGAAAAAATGGATGTATGTGTGTGTGTGTGTGTGTGTGTGTGTGTGTGTGTATGTGTGTGTGTATGTATGTATGTATGTATGTGTGTGTATGTATGTGCGGATACAAATTTTCGTCGACGATTTCGGGAACAAGAATCAACCGATTTGAATAATTCAAAAAACATTCGATCCGTATTGATAAGGAGACGTGCTGATTAGTTTTTGGCAAAGGCAGGTCAAGCCGTTCCGAAGATACGGGGCAAAAAGTTCCGAAAACGGTAACTCAGTTTTTAAGAGAACGGAGCGTCCGATTTCAATAATTCAAAAAACATTTTATTTGTATTGACAAGATGAAGAATCGATACAACTTTCATGAAGGTAGGTCCAGCGGTTTCGGAGATATAGAGGAAAAAGTAAAAAAATGAGCCATTTGGCGGTCAAAAATGATCATTAGACATATGCACATCAAATTATCAGACATTTTATAGAGATTTTAACAATAAGTAAACATTTTGTTAACATTCCTATCGGTTCCGTACCAATGCTTATGCGTTAGACAGCGACGCGGCGCTTACGCGCTTTATATTTTGTCCCTATGTAGTTGAAGCAGTACGATTGCTTTGAAAAAAAGTTCAGATCTTCCACAATATGTCAAAATAAAGAAAAAAATTTTTTATTTCAAAAAAAAAAAAAATTAAAAAAAAAATTTTTTAAAAAAAAATTTTTTTAAAAAATTTTTTTTTTTCAAAAAAAACTAATTTTTTGTCCAATTTATAGTTTCTCAAAAATCTTATTTTTTCAAAGTAATTTTTTTTCAAAAATGTTAATCGTTTTAAAAAAAAAAAAAATTTTTGGTACGGGAAGTTCCAGCAATTTGCCTTAAGGCACGATGCCCTAATTGCCTTAAGACAGAATTCCACTTACAGCTAGTAGAACATTTTGTTTTGGTAAGTTCTAAATTACTTTATACACTTCTATCTCTCAGGATACTATCTATCAGGATACTGAAAAAACCTTGATTCAAATAAAGAAATTTAAATGCAAAAAGTGTGATTTTTCCCATGAAAATACAGTCTGATAAATGGCTATTTTATGCTATCAGTATTTTAATTGATTGATTTCAACAATAATTATATAAAATTGTAGTTATTGTATTTCATCAACTTTTCGTTGAGAACCATATGCTCGATAATTTTAAGAATTTTTAATTCATGAAGAATTTTAGTAACTAAACCTTCATATTTTACTCGTATAAAATATATAAAAAGGTGAAATGGTTGAATTAAAGATTTATCTATTATAGAATTCTTATTCATCAATTATTATATTGAAGTTTTCACATAACACTATGATTCTATATAATAGAATTATCATCGTTTTAAAACTTTTAATGTTTTATATGAAATATATTAACAACATAAAATGTGTTAAAGTAACCTATGAACTTCAAAAAATAATCATTCATAATTTGGCAAAAAATTAATTTTTATATTCAAAATAAATTTACAGATTTTACATGTTTTATTATATCGCCCATTTGAAGTTTAATATTTTATCATTAATTTTTATTTTGATATAACTCTTTAATTATTGCGAAAAATAAAAAAAAGCAAAAATTTTTAAATTAAATTTTAAAAAAATATATGATTTTTCCATTCAAAACACAATAAATCAATTCGAAAGCGAAATTGAGTCATAGTAAGCCTCTATAACATCTACATATATAAAAAAAATAAGTCGGGTTTTTCTTCCTGACGAAATAACTCCAGAACGCACGAACCGATTTCGATAATTTTGCATTCGTTGGAAAGGTCACGGGCTCCGCAAGGTTTATAGCTAAGAAAATTAAGAAAATTAGTTGTGCATGGCATCGTGCCTTAATGCAAGCTACTGGAACTTCACGCAGCGTAATTAAAAATTCGAGTAATGACATTAGTGAGACATGGGCGGTAATACGTTGCCTGTTCACGAGTTGGAAAACCATCCGCTTTGTTTGTGTTAACGTCAGACCAAAAAACAAAAAATGTGGTTTACCAAAGTGCACTTCAATGAAATGGATAATTTGCGGATTCACTTTCATACTTAGAGAAGTTCATCTAAAAAACACTTCATTTTTGTAATCGAAATAAATTCATTACTGTTGTGTAATAAAATCAAATTTTTCCTTCTCAAATATAAAACAAACAAACAATTTCTTCATCTTTCTCACGAAACCATCTGGTGGCGAAACGGAGTTCGTCGGGTTTGCTGGTTAATTTATAATAACAATATTACAAAATAATTATAGTAATTTTTTAAAAAAAAATTCAGGCTTTTGGAGCTGTAGAAGCAATGTCAGATCGTGTGTGCATTCACTCCAAAGGAAATATTCATTTTCGGTTTTCCGCTGAAGATTTGGTTTCCTGTTGCCACACCTGTGGTTTCGGATGCAACGGTGGATTTCCGGGTGCCGCCTGGTCGTACTGGGTTCACAAAGGTATTGTGAGCGGAGGATCCTTTGGAAGTCATCAGGTAAGATTGAAATTTAAATGTGGCTATAATATAGGGTGTCATACTTAACACTGATGATCATACCAAAGGGGAGTCAAATGACTGGTTTTTAACTTTGAATTAGAATAGCATTTATAATTTTACTGTTTTTGGAAATTGCTTTACTGAATTTGGAACTCAATATATTGTTAAAATAGTTTTAATTTTTTTTCTTTATTATTTATTTTGAGTAATATTTAATGTATTCCTTTATATACCACGCCGGGTCATTTGACTTTTATTTTAATTTATTTATTCTTTTATTTTAAAAGTTTTTATTTTGCTTAATTTCAGCAAAAACCGTTGTGAAAAGTAGTTCAATCAAAATGGTCGAGAATAATTTACAAAAAATATTAAAATTTTAGACAGGACAAAGCTACCAGTGAAACATGATCTGGTTTCAAATAATAATGTTCTTGCTTAATAATTAAAATGAATTAAACATGTTAATGTGAAGAATTAGTGAATATTAAAAAATGAATAGCAAATGAAAAATTTCTGCAAGCGCAAATAATCAATGATAGGATTTGTTTTTTTTCAAAATTTAAATATTTAATTTAGCAAATCTTAGTTTCTAGAAATAAAAAATAAAAAGATTTTGGAATTGGCTCAAATTCTTAAATTATGAATGAATTGAATTTTCTAGAATTTAAGTTATCATGTAACCATAAATTATACATCGAAGCAACCAAAACTAAATTAGCCTGTAAAATAAAACAAAAACGTGCTGTCCATTTTTTTCAAGTTTTATTTAAGAGAATATATATTTTTCGTATTTCGTTTTTCAAATTTGATATATATTTATAAAAAATATAACATAGATATATTTCATCTTAATAGTCTTCACTTTAGTTCAGCGGTCGGGTAACTTTTTTAATCATTACCCCAAAATATTTTTGTCCAAGTTGATATTACCCCATGGCAAAGAAATATTACTCCCATACGGACAACTACATAGCAAATACAATGAATATCAATTAAAACTATACCTTTTAGCCCTAAAATTCCATTTTTACTCTGTTTGGGGTAATTTACCCTCGTTGCCGACCTCTTCTTTAGTCCTTTCTATAGAATTTTTATGCACGTGAAATTTTTTTCTGATTCATCTTGCTCTTTTGCTTTAAGTGGGCTTGTTCTCTTGACCAATAAATAATAGTAAAGGTTATAATTCAGTTATTTTGTTCTATTGTTGTTCATTTTTTGTATTATTAATTATTATCAAACCGAGTCATTTTCAAATGATTAACGTTCAAATTCAATAAATCGAATATTTTAATGATCTCATGAATTGCTATTTGCGGGCTTGTATGTTCTACTTTTCATAAAAATCTAATATAAAGTAATTTATGCATTGTTACAGCTTTTGTATGGCCATATAATTTTTTATATGATTTTCTTCTATTGTTATATAAACCATGATCAACTAAAATATCTATTTATTCACTTAAATTTTAAAATGCGATTTATTTTTTATATCACCAGGGTTGTCAACCATACACCATCGAGCCTTGCGAACATCATGTAAATGGTTCTAGACCTTCTTGTGATGGTCATGACAGTCGCACTCCAAAATGCCAAAAACAATGTGAGGCAGGATACGATGTTTCCTATAAAGATGACAGACATTATGGCAAAAACTCATATTCCATTCGCAATGATGAGAAAGAAATCCAACACGAAATTATGACCAACGGTCCAGTTGAAGGAGCATTTACTGTGTACGAGGATCTTCTTAACTATAAGACAGGTATGTATAGAATAAAGTTAAAATAGTTTGATAGCAAATATCTAAATACTCGTCTCCTATATAATATATATTGCTATTACAATAATCAATACTAAATAATTTTGCAATATTCTAAGGCAAAACTGATGTTTTTAAGGTGTCTACCAACATGTAACTGGACGAGCTCTAGGTGGCCATGCTATTCGTATTTTGGGTTGGGGCGTTGAAGAAGATACACCATACTGGCTCATTGCCAATTCCTGGAACTCTGACTGGGGAGATAATGGATATTTCAAGATATTGAGAGGTTCTGATCATTGTGGTATCGAAAGCCAAATTTCTGCCGGTCTTCCCAATGGCAATGCCAGACCTATCAACACAGTAGTTGAAGAATAAATAATATACAATAAGGTTAATTTAAATTTATATATAAAACGACTTTTTTAATATTTGATTATAAAACATATCACTGACAATAAGATTCGTACAATTATTTTAAAACAAAGCAAATTATTAGGTTCGTAACGAAAGATTTACACTCTATGCTATATCTTTCAATTCTTAAATGATGTATATTAAAAGTTAAGTTCCAGAACAAATAAAGCATTTTTTATATTTAATTAAATATCTATCCTTTATATTTGCTTACAATTGCATAAATATATTGCTCATATGTTGCTATTTACTTCTACAGGACAAAGTTAGATATTTATTGCATCAAGTTTAATAACTTCCCGTAGGTTAAGTTATAGTAATGGACTAAAAATTGGAAATGAAATTTTTTGAATATCTTCACGTTTTGGAGGTTTCTGAACATTTTGGCATACCTCAGCAAAAATGGATATGCGTGTGTATGTGTGGAGACAATTTTTCGTCGACGATTTCGGGCGTACTGATTAACCGATTTGAATGGTTAAAAAAAATTCGATTCCTATTGATGAGGAGACGTTCTGATAAATTTTTGACGAAGATAGCTCGAGCGGCTTCAGAGATATAGAGCAAGGGTGCTAAAAATGTCCATTCTTAGAAGAATGGATCAACCGATTTGAATGATCCAAAAAACATTCGATTCGTAATTATGGAGAGAAGTGGTGATTAGATTTTAGCAAAGGCAGGTCGAGTCGTTTCGGATATATAGAGCAAAGAGTGCAGAAAATAGAAATCGATTTTTTGAGAAAATGGAGCATCCGATTTAAATGATCCAAAAAACATTCAATTCATAATGATGGGGAGCAGTGGTGATTTGTTTTTGACAAAGTCAGTTCCAGTCGTTTCGTAGATATAAGGCTCTAAAATGGCAGTTTTTGAGAGAACTAAGCATGCGATTTGAAAGATTTAAAAACTTTCTGCTTGTGTTGACGAACCGATTGGTTTTGGGGAATTTTTCTGTTTATTTCATTTTTTTTAATTCTAAAAAAAATTTTTTTTTTGAATATCGAAAAATAATTCGGATTTTAATGCTAACTCTAGCTAAAGTACTAAACATCACGTATGTACTAAAAATATAATTTTAACTTTGCAATTCAGTTTATATATAATACATTTTCATATTAAATCCGATTGATTAAGTTTTGTTTATTTTTATAAAATAATAATAATGAAAGTTACATTATTTTTTATAATCTATTTGAAAATATTTAATACTCCTCGAATATTTTATTGAGGTACTAGAAATTCCAGCAATTTTAAGGTACGATGCCATACACCACTAGTTTGTTTCAGAAATTGTATTCTCGTTCGTGCACATTAATTTTAATATTGATAATTTATTTTATAAAAATATTGAGTTTGGCATATTAATTACATATTTTGCAACTTATCTGTCAAGACAAGACCAATTTGAACATCAAAGTTGCAGAAATCAACAAAACTGATTAATAATACAAAGACATGTTTTTTCATTTTCAAAGGATTTTTATTTTGAACAAATACATGTTTATCAAAACAATGATTAAATTACCTAATAATTGTTGAATAATTAATTAATTAATTAATATATGGTTAATCTAACAATAATAAGTTCACATACGCGAAATAATGTCTCAATTATTTTTGCTCAAATTCTAATAAAATATATGATATATTCTAATGAAATATATTAATTAATATTGTTTTTTAATATGTTGCATTATGTAAATTAAAATATTTTTGCCTTCTGTAATTTTTTTCTTCGTATCATTCAAATAGTTATTTGAATGCCTCTATCCTGGTCAATGAAAATTAGGGTAAAAATTCTTCTCCAGATTCATATGTTTGATGTAAGCTACTTGTGACTTCAGTAAAAAGACTATCCCATGTCCAGGGTTCATCTGACTCTATAATATCATTCTCCTCTTGCAAAAATCTAATTAGAACTGATAGATCTACACCATCAAGACAAGAAACCATATCGTAAACACCTTGCTGAATAACATCGGTATTCAATTCTCTGTATGCAGTTGTCTTGCTGCGAATACTTTGATGTTAAGATAAAACATTAATATTTATATATAAAAAAATAAATAAAATAGAATCTGAGCTTACTTGTCTATATCATTAATAGACAAAGATAATATGTCGTCATCTAAGTCATCAAGATCAGGTATCACAGGAATTTCACTGTCAGATTCATCGTTACGTATATCTCGTGTACGTTCTCTAAAAATACGAAAAATAAAGATTATTTTGATCATAAACTATAATGATAATAAACATAAGCACGACTATCAAAAATTGTAATAATATATCATTATTAGCAATTGCGACTGCGTAAAAATCAATAGAACTTAATTTATTCTTCAGTTTGTCCTTCACTAATTTATAATTTAGTAAAGAACCTCAGTAAAAGTTAATATAACATAGTATAGAAGAAACGTCGTTACGAAGTTGATGGTTACGTTAATATTAAGTATAGAAGTAACATTTATCGACTTGAACGTTATACTTCGGTTTTGTTCGTTACGTGGCAGCTACATTACAAGGTTTCATAGTTTTGGATATTATAATATCACAAAGATTTCGTTGAGGTGATTTATGTATTTTATAATTTCATTTGATTATTTAATTTAAGACAAATAAATAATTTTATAACATATACTAGAAGATAATTACCATATCAAAATCTATTGAAGTTGAAGAGATATCAGCATATAAAAACTACTTGAATAATTGCTTAAAAAATATCAGTATGTAAATTTTGAACATTAATTATGTCAAACGTTTAGTTACTAGCTAAATATAGAACGCAACACTTTCTGGAAATATTACCATGTAAATTTCAGGCTATAATAGCTCCAAATGTTATTATTTTCAAACATATGTTATGATATATATCATATGAATAATGATTTTGTGCAGTAATTTCAATAACTACATACTCGGTTATATAAGTTGATAGTATCAACTTGATACTATAATTTTTGTTTTACTAGTTTGAAACTTACTGTTCTGCTATATTCTTACTAGACACGACTCTGAAAAAATTGCATAAATTAATACCAGATATGAATAATATTTTTAAATTATTTATCTTAATTAATCAGACCTGGGTTGACCAATGGTTCCTTCAGCCCATCCACCATCATTTTTTGTTTTAGAAGGTGGAAGGAAACCTTCATTTGATCTTGGACTATCGACTGATCCATCTATTGTACTTATTGCAGTTTCATTATCAGTTTGAGGTGTGTATGATAAACCAGCTCTTCGACCTTTCTTAGGTATCTGATTAATAGATATATGTGGGAAAGATTAAAACATTAGATTCTAAATATAAACCAACAAACCAGTCATTTTTGGTCATATAGATTGGATAAAAGAACCAACGTTTCAATTATTTAAGTTTGATAAGCATTTTGAAATTAACTTAAGCTTAAATTATTGTCTTGAGGCTGTCTTTGTAGCTTCCGAGCCACATGAGCCTCAACGTTCGTAACGTAGACAATATAATAATGGTTCGTAAGCAAAAATCATTAATAACCTCCCAAATTTTTGATATAGGAAAAAACTTTAGAAATACTAAAGATTTAGAAATATATATATATATATAAATTTATATATATTTATATATAATACTCACTTTTCGACTCAAATTAATATCCAAATCATCACCAGAAATATCCATCTTGTACAACTTTTGCTTTCTATCTTTGTTTTGTTATGATGCATATTTCCATGGCAACATCAACATAATGTATTTGTCCAATCATATTTGATATATCTACGATATATCATTCATGTGTTGTATTATTTTAATTGATAATCATGCATTAAATTAGGTGTAAGTGGTATTTTGCTTTAAGGCAAGTTATTGCATAAACTTTCAGAAAAGTGTGAAAAATCCACTTAATCAATAGGAAATTTTGTGGGTGATTTATAAGTATACAGGTATACTTATAGGCGTTATATTAGAAACTATTGCAAATTATCAAATACTTACGACAAATTGTTTAAATATTACATTAAATATTATAATAACGCGTCCAACCCTGAGTTTTTTTACGCGTGGTCCATTCTACAATTTTTAATTAGTGTATGTAATTAAATAACTTGTTCTACGTCTACAATATTTTAGTATGTTCTTCAAGACTAGGAACACTATCACCATACAAAAGTTGTGTTATAATTTTAATAATCCAACAAAAAACGATGGGACCGATCTTTGCCAAAAATAAATCAGCACTATTTATAAATAATATATTTCGAATAATTTTTGAATTTTTAAAATCTAATCACTTTTTCATTTCAATACCATTATGAGCAATTACACCATTTATATTTTATATTCTAATATTCTAATTCAAAACATAGCTAACATATGTGTGATACACAAAATGCATAGTAGATGAAAAATCTAAGTGAGATTATATATTTTTTACTCAATTTTCGATATGAATGCCATACAATTATTGTCATTATTATATTTTTTTCATAGTAAAAAGTGCATTAAAACGTTATTATTTAAATTTGCCGCTTTTTTAAAAAAATCTTTCATCAATTTCTATTCGTAAAGTTGCCGGCTTGTAATAGCTGTATCATATGAAGATGCCCCTCGTCGCCATCTTCTTTCTTTTGCAGACTGCTTCTACACGAGTGCAGTTCATTTCTAGAACGAAATAAAATTTAGCCAAGTGAATTTTCTTTTAACCTTCTATTAAATTTTTGTGTAAGTTAAGAATGGCAAGGCTGCGATCGGTTTTGAATTTTGGCTACATCTACTTTAAATATAGGTATGATAAACTATATATTTATTTTTACACGTTTTTTGAAACACGTGTTGTGTTTGGGCACTTTTGCCCAATGTCATATTTCTATTAATTTTGTACGTGATGACTATTTTTACTACCACACCAAGATCTCTGAAAGTTGTGAAGATAAAAATATCTGAAGCTCGAATTAACTAATTAATTTTTGTTATTCCAAGGAACGTGTAATTAATTTGTATTTTCTCTTATAGGCAAAAATGTCTGTCCATGCATTGTGGATGATTGTTCGTAACTAAGCTTTCTTGAAGAAGAAGCATATTAACAAGACTTACTCCTTCAGACACGATGGTTTTGTCTACAAGACGACTGTTGGTTGGTTGTTCAAATGAGTCTTCACAGTTACTTACGAGAAATCAAAATGCTAGGTAAACATAAATGAATGCATATATCATATTTTTGTAATAAAGTACAGATTAAATTATCTGTACAAGTTCTAAAATACATAACAAATGATGTTTTGAAAATCTGGAGCCTTCAGTGAAGAATCATATTCACCACCCATCTTACCTGATGTTTCTTGATAGATTTTAATTTTATTTATATAGTTGAAGAAATTCTAATATTCTAATTGTTTTTACAGCATCGTCCAGCAAAGACGACCTTTTAGCATACAATGAAGGCAGGTTCAAGGCCTGCTCTTCGTTTATTCTTGATATTCTCAACGCTAATGGGTACCGCAGTATCTTAATTAAAGTAAGTACATCATCTTGACTAATTTTAATTATTTTAAGTTTACCAAATGATGTTTGATATATCTGGAGCCTTCTGTGAAGAATTATATTCACCACCCATCTTTCCTGATGGTATCTTTTAATAAAATTCATCAAATAATTATCCATACACATTGTATATAATAAAATTATTTTTGTAGGTTGCTTTGAGAAGACCTAGTGCTGCTTTGAAGACACAAAAAACCAATGCCTGAAAAGAATGCATTTGCAAAATTCAAACAAATTGTATATTTGCAAATAAATTCATAAAAATCCTGTGGTTTTGTCCACAAGAAGACTGTTGATATTGTTGCAGTAGACAACAGAAGCTTCATAGTTGCTCACAAGAAACCAAAATGCTAGGTAAACATAACTGAATACACTACGTATAATAATCTATTTTAATTCCTAACAAATGATGCTTTTAATAATCTGGAGCCTTCAGTGAAGAATCATATTCACCACCCATCTTGCCTGATGTTTTTTTATAAATTTAAATTTTTTTTTTAAGAAGTTAAGGAAATACTAATATTCCAATTGTTCTTGCAGTATCGACCAGCAAAGGAAACCTGTACAATATGAACAATGGAAGCAGGTCCAAAATGCTATTTTCAACTTCAGCATCCTAATTAAAGTGAGTACATCATTTTGACTAATTTTAATTATTTTAAGTCTACCATGTGATGTTTGAAATATCTGGAGCCTTCTGTGAAGAATTATATTCACCACCCATCTTTCCTGATGTTTATTATCCTTTAATAAAAGAATGAAATGCATGTTTATGCACATTTATAATAAAATTATTTTTTTTAGGTTGCTTTGAGAAGCACTACTAGTGCTGTTTTAAGGTCTCAAAATCCTATGCCTGAAAAGAAAGCATTCAAGAAATTTGAATAAGTTGTAAATTTGCAAATAAATTCACAAAAATACTTCAAAAATTTTCATGAAAATGGCAAGTGTCTGATGAAATTGAAAACTTTTGTGTCTGTTGACTTTTGTTCAGTTGATATATGCTTATGATACAATCAATTTACAATTTAAATGTATATGACTGTAATAAATATTGTTAAAGAATATTCAGAGCAAATATATTATTCAAATGCAATTGTATACACTTTTTACTGATTCGTTTCATATAACCTGCTCCAGTCTATAATATTTGTGATCCTTTTATTGCTAATACTAAACATTGAGTTCAAGTATTTTATCCTCATATTGATAAGTTAATTCATAGCTCAAATAAAATTGTTCTAGTATTCTATTGTTTCATAAAAAATCTCTGCTGGCTGTTATGTTTACTAAACATTATCAACAAATATTGTATCTAATTTTTTTTACATATATTAGGTTGTGAGTTTGACATCTATATAAATCACAATTTCATAAATGCGATAGAAAATTTGTAAATACATACATATTTCCATTTATACTTGTTTATCTATGCATATTTCATGCTAGGTGAACATAACTGAATGCAAGATATTATTGCGCTGAAGAAATAAAATTCAACCTTCCATTATTTCTCCCAATCAAAAAATTGTATTAAAAGCTAATCATTATTTGATATTACCATAAATTTTGATTTGTTACAGTGAAAATAGTTCATGTCCAAGTATGTATAATGTTTGTATAAAAATAATGTAAATATAAATATTAAATTTAACAAACAGCAATTTGTTTACGTTTTTGTTCTTGGATATAAGTATAATGTAAATAATTGTAGTAAGCAATGGGAGCTATGTGAGTTATAGATCATTAGATATAAACTCATTTTTGATTTTATATCATCCTTCCTTTATAGAAATATTTAACTTCCAATAAGGGTAAGTTATCGTAATCACCAAAAAATTCTATAACAAAAATGTTTGCATATCTTTACGTTTTAAGATTCTCTGAACATTTTAGCATACCCTTGAAAAAATTGATGTATGTGTGTGATGCCTGCCTACTTATTTATCTAAATGTAGACGGACAGGCATACAGGTAAATAGATGAACAGGTAGACAGGTAAACAGGTGGGCAAGCAAACAGGTAGACGGAAATAAATTTAGAGAAGCAGACATGCAGATGGTATAAAAATTGATTAAACCGGTTATTTACATTGCCACTCATGTTATTAATTTAATTTAATGAAACGGTTGATTCGTTAACGAATAAAAAATGGTTGCAAAAAAACCATTTGTTGATTTAACTTAAATTTCACTAAATATTTATATTAATATGTAGAAAAAAGTGTAGAAGTTATTCCAGTAGATTAGATGTGATATCTATTATATATAAACCGGTGTATTGCAGTGTATTTGTTGATTTATATTTCGATTTGATTGTATATTTATTATAATATAATATTTTCTAGTATATTTTTGTTATTATTGTATTATTACAAAACATAGTACGATTGTAATACCAAATTTAGTTTCACATACCCGTGTACTAAAATTCATTAATTTTGATTTCAAATTTTGCGCCATTAATTTGAATGCTTAAAGCAGCGCCATCACGTCGAGCGGAGGACCCTTTAAGTATTTCTTCTGAACGTAAAAATCGGGCGAGAAAAACATGATTTTGAGGTTATGTTAAAAAGTTGTCAAAGCCATTTGCCATGCCGTTCTTGGCATAATTTTGTTTCGGGATTTGAATCGGCTTATAAACGATTTAAAATCGAAAATTTCAAGAAGTCAGAACAACAATGCCTCCGAAGTCAAAAAAATTAAGTATTATATGGAATCAATGCGAAAAATGTGCAATCAGCATTGTAACAAAAGACACCGAAATTCATTCTAATAATTGCCCCCCAGACTTGGAAAAATGGAAGCATCCTTTCATTTACGAAGGACTTTTATACAGTACCTTAGGAATTAAATCTAGTGATGAATATAATGGTTTATCTGTTAAACATATAAATGAGTACGTTTTTTTAAGTCAAAATGTTATGCAAATTTTGCGGATTCGTAATAGGGGAATATATTTTATTGCATATAACAGATAAAAATTTATGGGTAGTTAAACGTGCATGGCCATGTTTTGAAAAGTCTTTGACTTCTGTTTTGTTGACAGAAAAAGGTAAGTTGAACAATGCATATTTTAATTATTAAACAAACGAAAAGTATTATTCTTTTATCTTACACATGAAAAGTCCACATTAAAACTGTTTATATTATAGGATTGCATACTTCATGCAGTCTTGCCATGATCATTTCAATTCTTATATTTATTCATGCGAACAAGCTTTTGTATTCATATTGAACCTTCAATCATATATTTTCATCTTGCCCTCACAATTTCTACTCATTAAACATAATAATCTACCAATGTCATTATTTTTAGTGTATGAAAGATTAAATTTAAATAGCAAGCAGACAAATGTTATTGCTTCAAAAATCGTCGATACACCAGAACCTCTACAGACCATTCACATACAATTTCTAAATAAACCTGAAGAAGGAATCATGGAAGATGTGAAGCTTTTCTTAGAAGGATACTATTTAGATAAAATTATTCAACCTGCAGATAAGCATTACATAGATTTTTTGGGAAAAACTTACAAATTTAAAATATTAAACATGAAGTCTTATAATAACACAGATAAATCATTAGAAGACGAATTTGCTAAACTACATATGCAAAATGATAAAGGTATTTTATTTAGTTTCATTTTGTTTATATATATATATATATATATATATATATATATATATATATATATATATGTAAACTTTTTTGTTCTACTTAATTGAATTAATTACATTTTTGTAAATGGCAAATAAAGTGTAATCTAAACATCATCTAAAATGAAAACTATCATTGTTGAGTATTGTTTAAAATTTCATAAAACGTTGCCATGAATATGAATTTATTGATTTCTATTTATTCCATTGGTTTTAAAAATTATATTATTACTTTATAACTAATTCTAACTTGTGTAATAGAGTTTATATAAAATCAATGATATTAAAACCTGCCGAGAAAAGTGCATTTGAAATGAAAAAATGTCTTTATGATTTATGATTTAAATCTTCAATTAGTTTTTAAATTTTGATTGAATTTTAAAAATATTTTGTTTGATAAGTTGTAATAGTCAAGTTCATTTATTTTTAATCTGTGTTTTTTTACATTAGCTCCAGTTCTATATAGAGTAATTCCATCTACTCAATGGGTCTATGAAGAAAACGATTCGGCAAATAAAAAATCCAAAACTTATCCTATATCAAGCATTGGTGCATTAGATGAAACCATCACAGAACTACGAGATATTTTATCATTAGCTTTAGATTTAAGAAAAGTAGAATCCAATGTAAAGTATGCAAAATCGATATTTCTAATATTTTTGTTATATTTTCTCTTCATATTATTATATTTTTTTATAGATTAAACACTATGAAAGGGTTTTGCATATGGGCCTACAGGATGTGGTAAAAGTTTATTAGCTAAATCAGTTTGTTAATGATTTAAAGTGTTCGATTGTTTTGAAATTAATGGACCAGAAATATTCAGTAAATTTTTTTGGTGAAACAGAATCTACATTGAAAACTTGTTTTAATGAAGCAAAACTCAATTCTCCTAGTATCATTTTAATTGAAGAGTAAGATCTAAAATGGTTAATTCATCTATTGAAGTTTACAATTAATAAGTGTTTTTTTTCTGTAATCTAGATTGCCATACTATGTCCAGATAAGCCTGGAACCGAACAAGAGCGACGTGTGACTTCTGCACTACTCAGTGTTTAGATGAGCTAGCAAATGATGATAATTGCCGACAGCAGTTAATAGCAGTAACAAATAGGCCTGAGATTTACATGTGTCTGTGAGAAGAGTGGTAGACTGGACAATGAGATTGAAGTATCTGTGCCAAATAACAAAGGTGTGACTTAAAAATAGTTAATTAAATAAATGAAAAGGACAATGCAATGATTTTTTATATATTGTCTTTTTCAACTACTTATTGAAAACTCATATATAAAATATAAGTAAATGATGATAAAACTAAAAATTATTATAATTTATATGATGAGAATATTTCTGTTAGTATTTTCTTGTTTTTTTGATTTGATATTTTTTGAGAATCTAAAGTACATGGAGGATTGCCCTTGTACTGTGATATTCACTTAGAAAATAGAATACTATTTATACAACTTGCTTGAGCATATATATGATATATATATATATATATATATATATATATATATATATATTACATGAGAATTAATTCAATATACATCTCAGGTAGGATGGACATTTTACATAAGCTGATATCTCAAGTTCCAAACACATGTTCTTCTGAAACAATACTAAAAGTAGCAATGCCGCACATGGTTGTACTGGTGCTGATTTGGCAGCAATGTGTGCTTAGCAGGCTCACAAGCAGTAAAAAGAATTGCACTTCCAGAGGCTGATTGCACGGCAGTGGTATGATTTTTTTCTTAATAATTAATTTGATTTTTTGCATCGATTTCAGTAGAAATTAGAGCGGAAACTATTGATATATTCACTTTTCTTATAGCCAGAAATGATGAATACAAAGTAACTGTAAGATGAGGAAGATTGATTTAAGAATATATGTTCTAATTGATTTATTTCCTAATATAATACTAGGATGGAGAAAGCGCTTTTATTAAACACATCTGGCATTTTTATTAAACATTTTATTAGAGAAAATTATTGATAATAATTCAATAATTGATTTAGTTAATAAAATGCAAAATGAAATGTATTTTAATAAATTATAGAAAAGAAAAATAATGGTATATTTATGGTAACCAGAACAACAAGGTTTGCTTATAAATTGTTAAAAATGATCAGTAACTTGATTCTTCAATTGTAGTTATCTTATATCATGATTGTAACACATCTTATAGCATTATTATCTACGATTTTTGAAAACCAATTATAATAAGATTGAAATCTAGTTGTGTCTAATTATTGTTTTGATCCATATACTTATGAATCTGTTAAAATTACGATGCTATCGATTTTAAATACTGGGATATAGTTGATTTTGTAATTGAGTGAATATTG